GCGAATTCTCAAAATACCTAGAAAGTTTATTGAAGACTCTTGATATATTTAATAAGCCAGTTTTTTGCCTTTTTCTGGGAATATTTATCGATATGTTTTTCTTTTATATCTGAATCTTTAATCTGCATTATTTTATCTGATGAGGGTGGTAGGAACATATTATCCTTATTGATAAAACGTGCACACATTCCTACTGTTTGTTCTAAATAGTGTCCAATATCTATCTTCATATTAAACTCTTTTGCAATTTCTGAAAACTCCATATAATCACCCTTTTTTGTCGATTTTGAACCATCTTTTTTATAACGAGGGCCATCATTCACAATGATATAGTTAAAGTGTTCGTCAGAGTCAGGGATCTTTATATTTTTTTCTCCGCTTGCTATTCTTTCTCTCATCCGCTCTATAAAGATTTTATTACATGCGAGGCCTTCTTTAGCCTTCCATTTAGACATTGAAATAAACTGATTAAAATCCCACTACTTAAATCTAGCATCCCGGAGAGCGTCTTCAACAATTTTACGAATTGAACGTGTGTTATTGATACCTATTACCTCCCACATAATCTTTTCTCCGATAAACCTGAAGAGCTCAGAATTCCCTTGCTTCGCAATATCAATTTCTCTCATAAAAAGATCATTTGGCCTAAAATTAACCACATCTTCATGCGATATACCGAAATATTTTTTCTTGCCAGTGAAGCAGACAGGAAAAGATACCTCTTTATATGCTATCTTAAGATAAGATGTGCCATTCTTTATCCTAAGATAAGCATTTACTTGATCACGCAAGCTTTTCATCACAATCATAGTAATATTGACCATTTCGGTCCAATACGCTTCTTTAGAAAGATCTTTTCTGGAAAAGGATTCATCACATTTTTCATAATACTTATCTGGGCAGATGAAATATAAAGAATCGGTATCACCATATTTTATCCCAAACCCTTTCTTTGTTACGAATTCTGCGACAAGATTAAGGTTATATTTTCCTGCTGAAGTAGTTCCTCCAGCTAATTCACGGAGAAAGATTGGAGATTTTGAGTTGCCTGCTTCCCCATAAAAAGTATTCATATATACCTTTAAAGCTTTTTACTTCAAATCCCAATAATCGTAATCAAAGCATATGGATGAATATTCTGAATTTAAGCTTTCTGGAACCCTTTTGCCTCTTTTTTTAGCTAAACTTATTATCTTCCCAAGATGTTGCCTTTTCTTTTCTAGTGGGGCCAGACATGCTTTAAGCTCTATCCTCTTGTTAGATAAATCCTCTAATACAACTGGATATAAGCCCTTCTTTTCAAATTTATTATCATGTCTTATACTCCTAGCTTGGATAGTGTAGTTATTGAATGGAAACTCAATCTTATGTAAAATGTTTCCATTTTTTTCCGCAATATCAGCCTCTCCATGTGTTAGTATTATTTTATCTGGAGAGAGATTGTAAGCCATGATGAGACTGGGATATAATGAGGCAAAGTCCAATCCCGTTACAGGTCTTCTCGTTTCAATTCCCTTTTCAGGTGGAAAAACGTACGCACCAGGATATTTTCCTTTTTCTATATTTTCACATACTCTTGAGCTAAATACCATATCACGTTTAAAAGCATAAGCGCCCAGAAGGTTTCGTACCTTCATTCCATTTGCACGATAGTGTGAGTCGAACAAAGATACATGAGCTATAGAAGCGACTTCTCTGTAATCATTTATTTGACTTAGCTTTACCAAAAGCTCTTGACAACGTAATGCATCTATAATACAATAATTAGCTACTTCTCGCATTTTTCTTGCAGTTAAAGGAGAGAATCTTTTTTGCCTCTGAATAGATTCTTCACATTTCATCATATGGCATGTCAGCTTTAGTGTCAAGGCTACACTTTTTTAAGAAGAATTTAAGCGACCCTTCCTTTTCGACTTCAGAATGGGAATAACGTTTTTTGAGACATACTCGGACATCAATTGGTATGCATCCTGGCAGTTTAAGAAAACTGGAAAAGAAATCCTCTTCTCCAGTAATTTTGATCTTAATTGCTCCCATATAATCTTTCTTTTCCTCGACCTTCTCACCCGATTCCCATATGGTCTTCTTTTCATCTGTATCCTTTTTCTTTCCTTTCATCATGAAATTATTTTCAGATTTTGCTCCTATCTTTCCACAATATTTCTACTTTAGGATTTCTTTCTTTGTTTCGAACTTTCCTGTCATTCGCTTTCACATCCATTTGAGTATATTGAGATGATATGCTCTTTTCATAATAAAACATTAATCATAGTCGAATCATTAAATCCAACTTGAATGTCAGAGGCAAATGCTCGCCAACAGAGAGCGAAAGCTTTTAGCAAATTTACTTGATTTCCACATATGATTATAACCCATCGTGGGTCTGGTGCAGTTTCAACGTCAACAAGACAAATTTATTTTAATGGTTTTGGATCATCTTTCCAATGTAATGTCATACTAATCATAAAGACCTTGTTTTTCTGTTCAAGAACTTCTGCAAATTCTCCCATTTGTGAAGCATATGTTTCTATATCCCATGTAAGAATAAGAGTACGATCTTGTAAGAGAGCTGAAATGGGGAATCGGTCACTTATTGTTGTGAAATCCTCTAGTGAACAGAAATCTTTTATAGACATGAAGAACTCGTGCGGACAAAGTGGGCTGGTCTGCTTACCTTTCTTACATATATATTTATTTATAGTAGACCACCCAGAGAGTTGGATTCCATTTTCTCGAGCTACCTTTCAGTGGAATGAGTATAAATCGTCTGAAGCAGTTTTGAAATTATTTTCTTGAATAGCTTGAATGGCTTTCTTTTTCTCTCTAGTACCATTCGTATAAATTCGTAAATATGACTTTTTTTCAGTATGATAACCCTGAAAAGGGAATGCTTTAATATGTTCTATTTTATATGATTTCACAATGCCAGAGAGAATTTCGCTCACCTTTCTTCGTATTTATCTGGAGTCTCTCCGTCTGATACGAGAATGTCAAAGAAAACTGAATGTCTATAAGAGTTACCAGTGCCTTTTGGCCATTAATAAGGCGGCCATAAAGACGCAATACATAGCGGTACGTTTCATTTATCCTTTCTGTTGATCCTTCATTCTCAATGGTCATAAATGGAATATCTTGTCATTTAGATAAAGCATTCTTGAGTATTGTAGTTAATTCCTCATCATTTCCCGCAACTATATCATTCAGTGTTGAAAAATCCAACAAATTTTTTTCACCAGAATAGCGAATCTGATGGCCTTCCATTTTATCTTTTTTGGCCTCTGGGTGAAAAAGGGCGGGGCATCAGAGAGGAACTCTGAAAGCTCGGATTGGGTCATGGTATTATATAACAAATATACAGTTCGAGAGAAAGTATATATTCTGAGAGAAAAAAGTTCAAAATAAAAATTAATTCCAAAATATATAAATCGATACATAATCGAACTATTCATAGTTATCAAAAATGTCATTTTATCAATGTCCATATATTCTTAGGACCGGAGAAGTTTGTAATCAGGGGTGCTTTCATCCAAAAGGGTGCCAAATACATCGGAATTCTCCCTCATATATGCCTTGCATTGAATGTGGTAAACGAACTTATTCTGAATATGGATTTTGCGATCTACATGCTAGAAAGTACTGTAAAAGAGAACAGTACCATCAGAAAAAGCAGGCTAAGTTAGCTTTGACGCAGATATTAGCAAAAAATCCGTCCCAGTTTCTATCTTAGTTGTCAAAGTTTTCTAGGACGGATGAAATATAGCTAGTTGGTAATATTAAGACGAATGAAAGGGAAATTTGACTACTCATCCTAGACGTCCTAGTCGTCCTAGTAAATTTTCAGAAATCCTTTACTTTTTTTATTTTTTTACCTATAGATATACCGTTATATAGCATACATACATCCATACATATATCATATATATACTATACACATATATCATATATATACTATAGGAAAATTCCTTACAATTACATCACACATATACCATATCATAAAAATTTCGATTTTTCCTATAACTATTATTTTACTAAGACAACTAAGACACTAGGACGTAATATAAAAGAATAAGTTAAATCAAAGAAAGAAGCTCTTCTCCTATATCAAATCCGTCCCAGTTCTTGTCCCAGAAAACTAGACATCTCAAAAACTGAGACGGATTTTCTAACATTGAAAATACGTAAAAAATAATTATTCTAAAGTGTATACAATAATAATGAATTCTGAATGTTATTCGCAAGAAAAAAGTTTAAAATGAAATTAATTCCCTGACATTATTAATTAATACATATAAATGGGAGGCGGAAAAAAAGGTGACACCCTGGTATTATATAATTGTCCATATATTCTTAGGACTGGAG